GAGGGGCAGGGGAAAGGAAAGAAGGGAAAGGAAAAATGATGAAAAATGGAAAAAATGGAAATAAAGTCTTTGTAAATAGGGAAGGGTAGAGGGCATGAAGGGAGGGCTAGGAATGGGGAAAAAATAAGAACCAAGATGCCTTATATAAAGGTACAGTTCCCAAGGAGAAATGTAATTGTGTTGTATACCTACAATGTACCAATAAAAGAATTTAATACAAAAATAAATAAATAAATAAATAAATGACCTATATCAAACAATCTATCAAACAGAACAGCCTTAACTTGAAGTGTGCCTTAGTACATATTTTTAATGCATGTACTCATCTCTGTGTCTACGTTTCACAGTGAGGCAGGAGGAAAGCTTTCCCTTTCATTCTGTCTCTGCAGTGAATGCTCAGTTTCCTTCACCCACAGAGCCGGCTTGACAGTACAGATGGGTCATTCACGCTGACACAATTGTCTTGCACAAACAGAGCCATGCTTGGCCAGGATGCCAAGTGGCCAAGCTGCAAACTGCCCTGGTTTCAGTGTCCAAGAAGTCACTGTGAGCTCTACTCACGGGGCAGCAGCCTTTCCCATTTACAAACTAGTCATAGCATCTTTGGGTGAGACACGATACGACCTGCAGCTTCCATAATGAAAATTGGCAAGGACAGTGCTCTGAAAGTAAAGAATGTCCCAAAAGCCCTGCCAAAGTTTTTTCTTTGACCGGGCAGAACTTTCTTCTTAAAATCCCTGGGGCTAACTGTCCATCCACAGGCCTGAGACATTTGGAGGTTAGGAGGAATGGAACGTGGCCATGGTTCTCTTTAATTTTTAAAAACCTGCAGAATAAAGTTTTCATAGCTCACTAGTCAAATATTTGAAATAAATTATGCATTCAGACATTTGATATATTTTTATTAGACCTTGCCACTAACTGATTTTTCTCAAGAGATCTATGCCCCCATGATTTCATCCTTAAGTAATCTTGGTTTTGTGAATAAGAATTTAGGTTTAATTCCCAGGAAAAAAATCACTCAAAAATTATTTTCCCCAACAATAAACCTCTTAGCTTCCTCTACTCCAAATTTGACTTATTCTTTGGTAGTTTATTTTATTTAAATAAAACACCTTCAGAATAAGGCAAAAAATTTCCACAATGCTTAACATGACTCATTACATCAACAACTATTAACCCAGTGTCTATTCTTGGCCAGAATCTAACACACAAGGGAATTCATCGGTTGCTGAGCCATCTAATTCGATAATATGGAACACTTTTTTCATTTAACTAATATTTATTAAGTCCATCCCGTATTTTAAGTGTTGTGTTGATTATAGGTTTACAAAGAAACAAGATGAAAGCTCAGCCCTTGGAGGGCTCGTGCTTTTGTCAGGAAGTTAGAGAGAAATAAACCAAGAAGTAAAGGCCCAAATAAAGGCACCGTGCAATCTGCGAGGATGGAGAAGGAAGGGGCCCGATTCTAATTCGAGGCATGGATGGGTCAGGGGATCTTCTTGGAAGAGGCAGCTCTGGAGCTGACACAAGGTGAATGATGAGGGCCAGTTTCCCGAGAGTGAGAGGAGCAATCCCAACAAGCGAGGCCGTGTGGAGGAACGTGTGGAAAAGAAGCGAGGAAGGCAGGGGTCTTGGCAAAGCAGAGTGAGGAGTCACAAGAGGTAAAGATGGTCTTGGAATCCAGGCTTCCAGGGACCCTGTCCTTGGAGCGCTGTCATTTGTTAATAGTCAGCACTGAGAAGTGCCTGGTGGGGTTTTCCTGGTATTTGGTATTGGTACCAGGCAGGCCCAGGCCTACGGTACCAGAGGAGCAAGGGCTGAAGAGCGGGAAGGCACCTGAACTGCAGGAGGCTGGTCACCCCGGCCCGACCCGAACCTCTCGCCTCACTTGGGTCAGCAGATGCAGCTGTGCAGAAGCTGGAACTGAGCAGGGAGGGCTCTGGCTCATCTTCTGCTTTGTGCAGTCATCTTGTTCAGGCTTGAATCTTCTTATTCCTAAGACATCCCACAACTTTCACTTGTGCATCCATTTCTTTTAACTGCAATGGCTGTGCACCCCAGTAATACAGTGTGGACTTCACAGGTGACATAAATCCCAAGGTGGTTTCTTTCAGGGAGCTGTGCTCACTCACAAATGATGCGCAGGTGAGTACAGTGCACTAACAGATTTAGTAGCTGCTTCTTGGGATTAAGCAGACAGTAGAAGATCAGGGTTGATGCTGGGAATGAAGAGAAAAGGGAAAATCTTAGAGATACATAGGCTGGAAGGAAATCACTCAACAGATGTGAGGGATGAGAGGGAAAACAATGCTCTTTGTGGACTTCTATGTGTAGTTACGGGAGATTAGCCTGCCAAATCAAACCCACACAGGATAAAAACTAGATACAGTTTTTAACATTGTGTGAAAGGACCAAAGAGCTGCCTTGTGTCCAGAATATATACATAAATCCTACAAATAATTTTCAAAACAGAAAAATCAATGGAAAAAAGAGCAGGAACTTGAACAGGAATTTTACAAAAGAGAACATCCAAATAAAGAATAAGCATATGAAAAATGATCAAGTAGTATTATTCATCAAGATGATCTCAATTGAAATTATAATGATGTGCCTATAAAATCTTTTGAGCATGGTTGTAGTTAAATAGACTTATTGAAAGATAGAGATAGTATTGTCTATATTGTTTCATATTAGGAAGGATTTTGAGTAAATAGAATTCCTGTTCATTTCTGGCAGAGAACTCGATGTGTAGAACTTTGGAAAGTTGCTTGGCAATGATTCTTACAGCTAAAACACCCATGGCCTATGACACAGCAAGCTAACCTCTTGATGTCATGCATAAGAAAAACAATGTCACTATTCACAGTAGCTCTGAACTGAAAATAACTGAAGAGCCCATCCATAGCAGAACATGAATACATAGGCTGCAACATATTCAAACTATCAAATACTGTGCAGCAATGGAAATGAATAAAGTATTACTATATGCAAAAACATGGATGATTCTCAGATACCGAGGGAAACCATTGAGACACAAACTTCATATCATTCTATTTATTCAAAATTTAAAAGCAGTCAAATTAACCTATGGTACCAGAAGTAAGGAGAAAGATAATCTTAGAGGGGGCCCTGGCAACAGAGAGAGGGCTTCAGGACATAGTCTGGGCCTGGGAAATGTTCTATTTCTTTGTCTTGGTGAGGCACACAGGCATCTGCATCTGTGGTGCTTCACCCAGCAGCATGCTTTATGCAGACACCAATTAAATGTGTTCTATTGGCCAAAGACGTCTACTCTATAGTTTCCTACTCCATTTGGCTTTCCTTGAGGGTTCCCAAGCCAAACTACCTCTTGAGGTGGCAGGCTTAAAATTCAGGTAATACAATAATCACTGGTTCCAGATAAAGCATTAGGCTTGCTCTTGAATTGTTTAGTTCTGTGGTTTCTGCTTACTTCACCTGTTTGCATGTGCCAGAAGAAGCACCCATTAAAGTTGATGCCAGCCAGATTTCTTTGTAAAATTCCCACTTCCAAGTGCTGAATACTGTAACAAAATTTGGACCAATGAATTTTACCAAATTGAGCAGTCCTGCTGACCAGTCCTTCAGTGCTTAGGTAATGACAAAGAGAGTGGAGGGAGACCCTAGCCGAGAGACGTCCTGGTGCTCTGTCCCAGCTCCCAGCATGGCCGCTGTAACCAGAGGCCACAATGACATGACAGGGACACTGGCAGGCGTCGCACAGTCGCCATTACCCAGTGGCAGTGGTACGGTGACACGTGAGCAAGGAGTGTGTGCTAACGGGCGGAGTTCTGGAGATGGGCACATGGTCATTACTGCTCAAGACAGGAAATGCTTCCAGAGATGTGTGTGTGAAACCAGCCTGGACGCTGTACTGATTACGGTACTGATGACCCGGATTAGCATGGTCCAGCTGTGTTTCCCTATTATTATGACAGAGCACAGGCAAAGCACATGGCAGAGGCTGACAGGGCAGCTGCCCTTCTTTTCCAGTCCTAACAGCTCTCTGACTCCCTTTGAGCTGGGGCCTGTGCCAGGGGCATTACTTCCTCCTGAGAACAGAGCCCCCAGGGATCCCCTTTCTGCCCCAGCCCCTCTTAGGAGAGCCTCATCTTCCACATCTCCAATGGGGGACCAAGTGCTCACCACCCCGACCTTGGAGGAAGACCACATCACAGCCAGCACAGCAGGAGATCTGCCCAGGCACCCCCAGGCAGTGAGGGCACCAGGGAAGGGCTCCTTGCTGGGGGAAACTGAGTCTGAGCCCGCCTGTCTCTGGGCTCTGGAGCTGGGTGAGGGCAGAGAGTCCCAGTCAGCCCACCTGCAGCGCCTCTGCTCCCAGCTGTCCTCGTCCCCGCCCCTCAGGGACACTGCGGTGGAAGTGGGCTTCCTTGCCACTTTGCAGAGAGCGGGATTGGTGATTTTTTAAAAGCTTTCTTCCCAGATATTCCTTGTTTTTCTCTCTGATAGAAATCCCTATTTAGAGAAGCTTCCAGGTCTGGCAAAGGCAAAGAGGAGGTCGTGTTTCAATCCGAAGACTGTATGGCAACTCCAGGATGGGTCTTGCAGAGTTGACCATGAAGAGGGGCCCCCTCGCTGTTGAGGTCCATGATGCAATCTCCACACCACAGGGCCAGGCTGCTTCCTCCCGACAGCCTGGGGTCCTCTGTCCAAACTGCTGAGAGTCCTTAGAGTCGGGGACCATCCTAACTCCTGCACAGGTTCAGCTGACACCTGGGATTAAGGTCAGATGCAGCATCAGCCCTCTGTGCACAGGAGAAAGCTTTCTGAGCTGAAGTGATGGATTTGGGTGCTGAGGTGGAAGGCAGCTCCTCTTGAACCCCAGTGACATAGTTTCAGAACCAGGTCTGGCTGGAAATGAGGTGGAGGAAACTGAAACTCTAACTGCAGCCCTCTAAATGCAAAGACTGATTGGCAGAGAGCCGGCCAAACTCTTGCCATTAAAAATACCACAGCTCACTGCCCAAAGGGTGTGGGAGCAAACTGCCCAAGGGCACCACTACATAAGCCAGAGCTCAGAGACACTGTGACGTCTCTCCTGGCCACAGCTTTCCAGCAGGCAGCTGGCAAGAGGGTTGGCAGGTCAGGAGTGTGCCAGAAGGGACAGAGACACTCACTCCCCACACCAGGCAGAGGGCTCTTCAGGCACTGGTGGCTCTGCCCCATTGGTTGGTGGCTTCTGTAGGAGAATCTCAGAGCATTCAAGCGAACAACCTTTTCAAATTTCTGCAGATCTCAGGGGAGCAAGGCCAGTAAATGAACAGAAATGCATCCTGGCTTGCGGAAAGAAGGCAGGAAGAGCAGCCCTCTGGCTCATCTCACTGTCTTCATGAAAGATGCTCACCACTCTGCTTGGCCGCACACTTAGAGTCCCTGAGCACAATTCTCCACTAGCAAATAAAGACAAGCTCAAAGGACAGCAGTCTCGGGACAGACTGAGCCCTGCCTCCATCTTCAGACTGGAGAAAGGCGAAGGATGGAATCACTGGGAGGACCCAAAGCTCAGCAGGAAGCAGGGCTATGGTGAGGTCTGATGCCCGGGCTCCCAGAAGGCATCCCTCCACCTCCTTTTTCAGAATGAAGCCCCACCCTCATAAACACAGTGTCACCGCTGCAGTCTGCCCACCCACCTGCCACCCACCAAGTCCTCCTCCTAATATGCAGATCGGATCCTGCCATGCACGACTACAAAATCCTCAAGGCTGCCCATTCTCCTTTGGTGTTAGGTCTGCACTTGATCTGGTGAGCTCTACCTACTCTACAGGCCTTACCTGGATACACCCCGCTGTCTGCATTTGGATGGAGGGTAGTTTGTTTATGAGCTTCTTACCCTAAGCAGAACTTCCTGATGACAGGGAGCCTCTTTCTGCACATCCCAAATGCCAGACAGAGCCCTGCACCTGTTAAATCAGAAGACAAAAGTATTCAACTTGAGCACCAGGATCATTTAAAACATTACCTGTGGTTTAATGTTTGAGACCCAGTGCATTACACTAGCTCTTAGGCATTTTTGCAATGCATTTTCCTAAATCATAAATGTGTGAATTTACATCTTTGTTAATTTTTTTCTCATGCTGCTCTTATGGGACCTTAGGTAAAGTGTCTGCCTTTTCAATCCTTCAGTGACCTCACTTAGTTTTCCCATAGCGACCCATGCACACTTGCATCCTGATTCAAGCCTTTTCTTTTCCTCTGTAACTGGGTGAGGACATCTTTCAGGGAGAACCATGTCTCCCTGTCTCTGTGTCCACTGCGTCCACAAAGGAAGGAGAATAGACACATACCAACACGACAGCTTCATCCCAGCTTCGGCAATGCCAGCAGAACTTTGTTTGCAAAAACCCCACAGGCTTCCTAACTTTAGTGCACAGTAAAGTACAGGAGAAAGACTCATGGGAGAGGCCCACATCACAACTACATCATGACTTTATATACCTGAAGTGTTGCTACTCCTGTTGCTGGTGTTTGCATGGGTGACAATCCCTTAGCAGCTGTCCTAGTTAGTTTTCTCATTGCTGAGACAAAATGCCCAACACAATAAGTTAAAAGAGGAAAGGCTTATTTCAGCCCACAGTTTGCAGAGGTTTTAGCCCATAGCAGGCTGGCTCCAAGGCAGAGCAGCATGGCTCAGGACCATTGCAGAGGAGAAACAGTCCATGGCCTGACAGGGCAGGCAGAAGACGGCAAGCAGCAGCAAGCAATGGCAGAGGCAGAAGCAGCAACAGCAGCTTGCCTTCTCTCTGTCCCTTTTATCCCTTCCAGGCTACCCACCTTTTGGGTGGTGCCACCCACACCCGGTGTGGAGCTTCCTTAATCCCAGCACCACACCCTAGAGCCAGCCACCTTGGAAAACCCTCACCTACAACTGGATGAAGCTCTGGATGGACATCTAGATACAAGGCAAAATAGCAGCTTCTCCATCCAAAGACTTGAAGTGGAATTCTGAAGTACTTCATCAGGAATGTGAAGGCTCATAAAAACTTGATCACATCCTTTGCCAAATGGATTCCGTTCTTTAACGAGTTTTGGCAAGGCATAGTCCACGATGCATAAAGGCAGGAAGAAACGCAAATAAGTGCAGTTGGGGGCTTGGTTTCCATTGCAAGGAGATTCTGAACTCTTCCAAACCAGTAAGGGCACAGCGTAAGGATAATGCTGTGAGAAAAGCTGCAGACATCACAGAAAGGATACAAACAGGAAAGCAATGCCTTGCTGGAAAGACATTTATAGTCCTGAGAGGTAAGGCCAGTGCTGCCAGGGAGCTGGCAAAGCAAGAAGAAGCAACTGAGCTTAGGGCTGGCTTTGGCCACAGTGAGATGGTTTTGTGAGTCTTGAGCAGTCTCTGAAGGGGATGCTTAGTGTGTGCTCCAAAGTCAGAGCTACGGCCAGCGTGCAAGGCACAGCACTCTGCTTCTTTCCCTCCACTGCCTGGGCAGCAGGCTGACACGTAGTCTCCGGAGTAGGTGGCAACCTGATCATTTGGGAAAATAACTCACAGGGACCCAGGAAGGCCAAGCACAAAGTGTGAGCAAGACAGCGAAGAGCAAGCTCTTTCTGTTCCTTTTGCCTTTGTCCTTTTTAGAATTCTTCCAAGAATTCTCTTGAGCAAAACTTCACACTTTGAATGATATTAACTTTTTTATATTAAGGAGGTCCTATTTTCAGGAGACAGAGGAACCATCTTCCAAAAATCTAATATTATGATGCAGATCTGGATTTTAGTAATGCCCTGGGTCTCAGGACAGGTATGTGAGGGATGAAGCACAGACTAAACGTTTTATAATACTCATTGATTCAATCCTTTGTCTCTTCTTAGCCCTTGAACACAATAACATTGGTTTAAACCACACAAAACTATCATTTCTATAGGTCAAACGCTGGTAGCTGTAAGCAATGATATTTATTCACTGTAGGAATAAACTGACCTCAAAGTAAATAAGACCCTGAGGCCCTCTGAATTTCATCTGTACATTTCAGCTTTTCCTTAATGGTTTATAAAATAGATAGTTGTTGCCATTTTGCAGATTTGAAAACTGAGGTTATAACAATTAAGGAAGTTGTTCAAAAACACATGGCTTATAAGCCAGAGAGAACTGGAAGTCAAAACTGAGTTCCAATGGAGACACCCGAGTCCCTCCACCCTGATGTGGGAGCCAGGAAGTCGCCTGCAAGGCGTGGTTACTGAGGACCCCAAGCATCACAGCAGACACAAGGGGATGGAAAGAGCTCAGTGTGAGCGCTGGGTGTGGGCTGGGAGAGAGGCCAAAACGAGGTTTGGGGAGGGGGTGTCCCCAGGAGTCCCCTCCCTCCCCTGGCTGCTGCCACCTGAATGCCATGATGGTGTCCGACCCTTTGACCGACTGGTGTGACTGACCCCATCCCCACACTGTCAGGTCCTCCCAAGTGGCCCCTGGACAGCAGTGCAGCCCACACTTCCAGGTCATCTTAAACCTTGGAGTGGGGCAGACGAGCTTGACGGCATGTTCACACGTTCACCCCTCTGTGCTCTTCTTATCCTGAAAACTCTCCAAATAGTTGGTCTCATCAGACGGATACTTTATGCAGAGCTTTCAATGGAAAAAAAGACACATTTTGGTGATCGAATAACTAAAAGCACATTGTAGCAAAAAGATCCAAAAACATGAAAGGCGCCTCAGCCTTTCCCAGCCCCTGTTATTTTCCACTGCTTTTAAGCCACTGGCCCTGCTTGCTTCGTTGCATATGCGTTAAGAAACTTTCCAACTCAGAAACTGCTATTGCTTCCCAGGGCATTTCACAGGAAGTTGCGTGGGAGAGACAGGCTTGTCTCTGGAATCTTCACCAAGGATGGTCCCCAGAACATTTGATCTTAATTAGCCGGACATACTCCTGGAGCTTATCAGCAGAATCCACTCAATTAATTGAACATAATCACATTTTTTTCTTTGTTAGTGTATAGTTTGGGTTAGAGTAACTTAAGAAAATGACTGAGACATGCAGAAATATCCTACCAGAGGAAAAAATACTACAAAATGTAAACACCATTTCCTGTGACCTGTGACTAGAAATGCCCAATGTGCTGCACATGGTAATCTTCAATTTCTGTTTACCAGTACTTGGGCACCAACCAATCGGAGCAGACCTTGTTGTCTCTGCTTACATCTTTGCACCGCCTGAACAGGCGCCTTGAGATTTAAGATGAACAATGTTGACTCAAAAACGTATACTCGCTCTCAGCAAGAGACGTTTAGAACTTTTTCTCATCTATTACCAGCTCTGAGGGATTTAATAGCTAACTCCAAAACAAAGCGAGTTGGATGCCCAGATAGTGCCTACAGAGTCTCCTTTCATTCCCTCTGTGTGAGCTTGGGGGTGGCGGAGAAGTCACCATATAGAAGCATTCGTGCAGGACCAAGCACACTCTACAGCCTACCTTAAGGAACTTACACAAGTAACTCCTTTTGCTTTTTGTCTTCACATTCTGCACTGATTTTAGAACTTCACACTATGTTCATTCTTAATGAACATAGGCGCTAATGGCCCCTCAAAGGAAAGGAAAGCATTTGGATTGAAACTTGACCTTAGCCACAAGCAACTTTTCTGCATAATGACTCTTCATTTAGAAACGACTTTCTTTGGCACCGGGGATTTTCCCTTGAGTAGAAGGCCAAAGGGCTCCTCCCCTTGCCTTATGCCTCAGCACACACAGCAGCTCCTTCATCTTCTCTTCCTCATTCTGGTACCAGACAGGTGGGAAGACGACTCAGAGGAGAGGACAGGGGAAGGCTGGGAGGAAGTGGGTGTGGACGCCCAGGGGTGGTGTAGGCTACACAGGCACCAACACAGGTGTTTTTTCACTAAAAGGTTACTGGATAGTGCTTCACTCTATTTTACAATACTCTGTTTAAACACAAATAGCTTTTATGCTACGGCTCACGGAACAAAGTTGATGCACCAAAGAATCAAACTACTGACTAATGACCATGGAGTTAAGTTCCAAGAAGTTGCACCGCGCTTTCCTCTGAGATCCTGTGTCCTGTGCAACCCAGTCAGAGAATCAGATGCAGGTGGGAAGGAAATGGATATGGAGAATGAGACCCGGGTTCTAATCCTGACTCTGTCTGAGTTCCACATAGTCATCCTGATTCTTCTACTTAATATCTCTTCTCTCCTCTTTTAATAAAGCATTGTCAATGTATCTCAACTCTATAAAAATATTATTTTATAATTCTAGCAAATATAGTAGCCAAACACTTGCTATATATTCTATTAAAAATATTATTTTACCTAGTGTTATAACTTTGTACACGTTATCTTTAGGATAAATTAGGTCACGTTAAAACTTCCTTCAAATGTTAAATGCTTCCAGAAAACAATGGAGCCATCATGAAGAAGCAAACTTTTTTTTTTTTGGTACCAGGGATTGAACTCAGAACTTTGTACTTGTGAGGCAGGTGGTGGAACCACTGAGCTAAATCCCCGGCCCAGAAGCAAACATTTTTAGCAGTACTAAGGGTTTGCTAAAGTTTGGGAAGATGACATAAAAATCCCAAACCCACACCAGCGACAGGTGATTGAACTTCAACATTTCCATTCTTCTCTGTGAGTCTTTTTTTCACCTTAAGGTGAGTAGTAAAGAAAAAATATTTAATAAAATTATGTATACATTTATCCTTTCATCTGGCAAAGCCACTTCAAAGAATCTGTCCTCAAAATATACTGGCAAAAACATAAGCACGACATTATCTAGGATAGCAAAAGACTAAAAATAACCCACAAGCTCACCGCTGAGCTGCTGCCTGAATCAGTGACTGATACCCACGCAATGAAGAACTAGAAAGGCACAAAGAGGGGAGGAAAAATATCTCTACTTCATCTGATAGGTTGATCTCACGTTACATAAATTAAACAAGATGGAGAAAAAGGGCATAGTACAGTTAATGTAAGAAAAAGATGAATATAAATACATGTACACGTGCACACTTCCAAATGGAAGG